CCAAAGAAAGAGGGTACAACAGAATTTAAAAAGGACATAAAAGAACAATACATTAATATCACACTCAAGTAAGATTTTGCTGAAGATAATTCAAAAGCAGTTGTAGCAGCCCATGGTCAGGGAAGCTAGATTTAAAAGAGGACGTGGCATGGGGATATCATGGCTGATGTCAGCTGGATCCGGCCGAAAGCAGAGCATACCCCCACAGATGTTTGCATTTGTTTTATTGACGATGTAAAGACATTTGACTCTGTGGATCATAACGAATCAGGGATAACATTAGGAAAGCTGGAGATTCCAGAATGCTCAACTGTGCTCAGTTGGAATTTGTAGGTAGACCAAGAGGCAGTTGATCAAACAGAACAAATGGACACGTCCAAGTTTAAAATCCGCAGGGTTGCTCCCACTGTCCTTATTTAATCTGTATTCTGACCAGATCATCTGAGCAAGCACCGTATCTGAAGAAGAACGTAGCATCGGGATTGGAGGAGGATCACTAACTGTGACGTGCAGGCGACACAGCCTGGCGTGCTGACAGTGAAGAGAACTTAAAGCACGCACGCACGGATAAAAACCAAAGGGTTTTGGACGGCACGTTAATGAAAACAAAACAAAACAAACCCCAGAAATCCTTTCAACTGGACCAATAGGGAACGTCACGATAAACAGAAAGATCAAAGGTGCCAAAGGTTTGATGGGTCCACAATGGAAGCAGCAGCCAATAAATCACAGACTGTGCTGCACGGGGTAAAACTGCTGCAAAGGACCTCTTTAAAACCAAGATGGCACCCGAGGATGAAAATGACCCTGACGGCCAGGTATTTTTAGCTAGACCCGTGAAAGCTGGAGAGTGAGAAAGGAGCATGGCAGAAGAATTGGTGCCTTTGCATAGGGTGCTGGGGAAGAAAAGTGGGTGCACTCGGACCTGCCAGAAAAACGAACACATCTGTCCCGGAAGAAGTTGAACCACAGCGTTCCTTCGAAGGGAGGATTTTGTCTGAGACACGTTGGGCATGTTATCGGGAGGGATTGGTCCCTGGAAAAGGACACCGTATTTGGAGTAGAAGGTCCGTGACAAAGAAGAAGACCGTCAATGAGATGCTGACACCATGACTAACTGCAGCCGGGGGTTCAAGCACAGCGATGGTTAGGATGGAGCGGGACCGGGCCATGTTTCTGGCCGCTGCACAATCGGGCGCTGTGAGTCAGAGCTGACTCAGTGACCTCGAACATTACCGCCCGCCCATGTGCTGGGCACATCGTTCACCTTTGTAACAACCTGCTTCAGCAGCACGGTCAGTAATTTGTTTTACAGGAGGGTCTGTGAGATTAACCTGCACCAGTTGCCACCGAGCCAATTCTGGCGCATAGGGACCCCGTGATCGTCAGAGTAGCACTGTGTGCAACGGGTCTTCAGTGCTGGCTCGTCCGTTCTTTTCTTCTTTTTAAAGTAGAGCACTGGGTGTTCTAGGTGGACTTTGGCCTCCAACCTTAAGTTAGTAGCTGTGTGTTACCACCCAAAGGCAGCTCTTTCCACTGCCCAAGGACTCCCCTGAGGTTTAGAGAGGTGGAATCATTCGTTTTAATTGTCCTACAATCGTACGGTGTGAGGTTGGGCTTCAGCTTAGGTTTTTGACTCCAAAGCCAGGCTTTTTACTTTTGCTCCAACTAGTTATATTCTGCTGAAGTTACCCTGGATGTAGTTTCAATACAAGTAGTGCTATGTATGCAAACGTAACAGAAAAAGTGCCTAACTCCTGTCCCCTCAAAGAAGAGGAAATGCTCTACTTTTCCAGTAAAGATTACTTTCTTAGTGCTTGTCAGGTGATAGGATTTCCTGGTGAGACAAAGAAAATTTAAATTCACATTGTATGTCCTTTTAGAATGAAAGGCTCAGTGTTCAAGCCCATAGTTGGATTCATTTTATTAATTAAAATACACACGCAATTTGTTTAGAAAGCTTGCTTAATCACAGCGAACCCAAACTGACCACTTTTAGCCAGCAATAAGCTTGCCTGTGAAGAGAATATTTATGACATAGATGGAAGGAAAGACAAAAATAGCTACTGATGCCTTTAGCACACTGTTTTTGTTGCATTAGTTTTAATAGTGATGAAGGAGACATCACATTCTGCCTAAGTTTGGCCTCTACAGGAGGGGAAAGGAGCCCTGGTGGTGGAGTGGTTATGAATGGGGCTGTGATCCCTAAGGTCAGCAGTTTGAAACCACCAGCTGCTCCGCAGGAGAAATATGGAGTCTCTACTCCTGTAAAGAGCTGCAGTCTTGGAAACTGACAGGGGCAGCTCCGCTCTGCCCTATTGGGCTGCTTTGAGTCAGCATGGACTTGATAGCAGTGAGTTTAGTGAGCCAACAGGAATAGAGGCTGTTGTGTGTCCACAGGGAATGCCACTGTGGGTTCAGATGTAGAGGAATTGAGTCGACCTCTCTATTGTGCATCCCCCTCCTCCTGCTGTGTAGAACTTCACCAAAATACCAAGTGACAAACAAAACCCACTCAACCCCAAACCAGCTAACTCCCATTGCTGCCCACTGGCCTGCTCGCGGTGCCCCCATGTGTGTCGGAGTAGAGCTATGCTCCGGACGGGTTTTGGCGGCTGGTGCTTTGGAAGAAGGCTGTCAAATGTTTCTCCGGAGTTGCTTCTGAGTGGACCCAAACGTCCAAGGTCGAGGTTAGCAATCGCATGTGCTGACATTCGTTCCACTCGGAGACTCCTCCGGAGCTTCTCTTGTTGTTGTCGGGCACCACCGAGTCAATTCTGGCTCATAGTGAGTCCGCAGGACAGAAGAGAACTTCCGCAGGGGGTTTCCTGGGCTGTCAACTGTACAGGAGCAGACCGCTGCATTTTTCTCAGGTGGCGTGGGCTGGAACCTTTGACCTTTCGGTTAGCAGCCAAGCTCCTAGCTATCATGCTGGAAACAACAGCAGCAAAAAGAACAAGACAAATCTGGGGCCTCTGCGTTGATTCCAACTTCTAGCGGCCCCTTGAACCCTACCGTGGGGGTAATCCCGCTGCCAGTGGACCCATGCAATCCCCTTGGTCTCTGTCAGCCCCAACATCAGCTATCCAAAGTCTGCCCATCGTTTTGGTCCCTCCTCTATGCTGGGCTTTCCAGGGGGACACTCAGTTCATTTAACAAAACTTCTGTCCAATGAGACAAATTAAAAAAAATATTTAAAAAATTTGTTTATTTATTTATTGACACAATGTTTTGATGGAAAGCTTACCCCCGGCTTTTGGTATATTGCAGAGAGCACCTGTTAGGAAGTACAAACTCTCCTGCTCTGTTGGTTATTTGAAGCCCTCGAGTTATTTAAATGAGAGATGTAGAAAAAGCCCACTGGATAGTAGGCTCAGACCAAAAACTCAGACCCACGCCAGTCCCATTGAGTTGATTCTGACTCGTAGCGACTCTATTATAGGACAGAGTGGAACTGCCCCTGTGAGTTCCTGAGGCTGTAAATCTATAGAAAGCCTCATCTTCTTTCCAAGGACCAGCTGGTGGCTTTGAACCTCTAGCTTTTCACCTAGCAGCTTAATGTGATAAACAGCATTCTGTCTTAAAATTGGGACCCAAGGGTCCCTGCATCATAATTTCTTGTTACAAATGCACATTTTAGGGGCTTACTGGATCAGAATTTTGAAGAACCATGGCTCATAATTCTGTATTTTAAACAGGGACACCCCAGGTGATCCTCTAGCGTAGCAGTTCTAACTTGTGGGTTGTGACCCCTTTGGGGAGGGGGTGTGAACGACTCTTTCACAGGGGTTGCCGATTCATCACAGTAGCAAAATGACAGTGATGAAGTAGCATCGGAAATAATTTTATGGTTGGGGGGTCACCACCACATGAGGAACTGTATGAAAGGGTTGCGGCATTAAGAAGGTGGGGAACCACTGCAGCACATTGGCATTTAACAGTTGCTCCTATAGAGTGATAGACAATAATTTCCAGACTACCCAGTTCATTCAGTTAGTTCTGACTTAACCAAACCAAGACAAACTCACTGCCATCCGGTCAATTTTGACTCAATTGGACAGGGTAGGACTGCCCCTGTGGCTGTCCAAGACTGTAACTCTTTACAGGAGTGGAAAGCCTCCTGAGTTCTGACTTAGACCTGCCCTATAAAACAGAGTAGAATACTCGGCAGGGCTTCCAGGTCTGTAACCTGTATGGAAGTTGACGACCTCATCGTTTTCCTGTGGAGTGACTAGTGGGTTCCAATCACCAACCCTTCAGACTAGCAGCCTGATCCTTAATCCACTGTGCCACAGGACTACTCCTTTCTCTGGTCCACCCAAACACACCACACCCATTGCCAACTCATTACGATTTCAATCCCACTCTATGTAGGGTTGGGACGATGAAATCTTTATGAGGACCAGATAGCCTCATTTTTCCTCCATGGAGCAACGGGTGGGTTTGAAGAACTGACCTTGTGACTAGTAGCTTAATGCTTAACTCACAGTGTTACCAGAGCTCCTTTTACCCTCATCCTGATGGGGTGCAAAGTATCTAAGCTCACGGATTATGTTGCTAAGGTTTGTCTACTTTATAAAAGAACTATCACAGATGGGACTCTTATCTGTGCTTTTGGCTTTAGCCAAGGACTCCGCTCCCAGAACCCCTGGGAGAATGATGCGTTGTTCTCCTGGTCCTTTGCCTCTTTGACTCACGGGAGTGATTGGCGTGGCTTGTGGGCTACTTAGACTTGCAAGGGGCAGCAGTGACTCTTCTTGAAAGTCGTCCACTGCCTACCTAGAAAACAACCCTCTTCTGTGTTTGTAGCTGTTAAGAAGGAGAAATCTGAACATCGCCAATCTTACAGACAGGGTAGCCATTCTTTTGGCAAACGGGATGAAAAAAATCAGTACTTCTCATCGGGGCTGGGTATGTTGTGTAGCAATTGAATTTCATGTGAGGCAGCAGCAATGAGTCCCTCATTTTGCAACATACTTATTTCTGTTTTCTTCTTGCAGGAGAAACTAAGCCAGGAGTGTGTGTTCAGAGAACAGTTTGAAGAGAACTGGTACAATACGTACTCATCCAATCTCTATAAGCACGTGGACACTGGGAGACGCTACTACGTCGCATTAAACAAAGACGGAACTCCACGGGAAGGGACGAGGACTAAGCGGCATCAAAAATTTACACACTTTTTACCGAGACCAGTGGACCCGGACAAAGTTCCTGAACTCTATAAGGATATTCTAAGCCAAAGTTGACAAAGACAATTTCTTCACTTGAGCCCTTAAAAAAAAAAAAAAAAAAGAAAAAAAAGCAACCACTATAAAGGTTTCACGCGGTGGGTTCTTATTGATTAGCTGTGTCATCACATCAGCTCCACTGTTGCCAAACTGTGTCGCATGCATAATGTATGATGGGAGCTTGGATGGAACATGCTGATTTCGTTCTGCACTTAAAGGCCGGTCCATCTGGAGGATTGCCTA